AGAATGAATTGCCTAAAAATTAAAGCAATGGGTCCAATTAATCTGAAAAACATAAATATATTACTTAACCTGTGTTTCCCGACTTTTCGGATCTTCTATAGTTGAATTGCCTAATATAATAGTCCCTAGGCAGATGTAGCATTTAAAGTAATAATTGAAGAGTGAAAAAATGGAACATCATCATCATAGCATGTTATCCTGGACAACCACACAGCTCTATTGTGTGTGTGTTTCCGATCACAAGGTGGACTCATTAGCCTCAGAGGTCCTTCCCCTGATGTTTGGAAACTGAACAAAAATAAACTGAGCATGCAATCTGAAAATAAAATATATTGCTTGAAAATAAGTTTATCCTATTAATTCCAACTTTTGGGAGACCCTCAGCACCTCATCCTTCCAATATATGTATATCATATTCTACTATATAAAAACTGCACTATGAGTTTTATGACCATGTAACATATTCACAGCTGAGCTATATAGACACTTTTCTTATTTGTGCACAAGTATAAATCTTGGTGAATTTTGACAATGTAAGCACACAATGCTACCATTGCCCAGTTCCGGAAACAGGACAGTAAAACAGAAGTACCTAACTGCCTCTATAATCCTCCCAAGACACATCTGTCCCCAAGAACCACTCCGACATTTTGGCTGGTTTCCCGTTCTTAAAATTTTTATAAACTCATATTATATGTACTCTGGTTTCTTTTGCCGTTCTTTTTCTAGCTTGAATTCAAAGCTTGGGTTGATTATCTCTGATTTATGTATATAAAGCCATAAATCTTTTGAGGAAAGCATTCGCTACATACCATAAGTCTTTGCATATTGCATATTATTCATTTCAACATACCTTTCTTTACATTGTGATATTTTTAGGTTTTGAAAATAATTTTTCTCCATTGTATTGTGACCAAGTGTGCTTCATACCAATCTTTGAAAATTTGTTGAGATGCTTTATACATCCTGGACAACAGCTGCAGTTGAGGTCAACATCTGATTAGTTCATAAGTCATTCTCCAAGATCCAGCAAATTTCTGTACCATTGGAACAGAGAAATATGACAGAGGCCTTTACCCTGAATCTTGCAGGATTCTTGATGGTGGCACTCTGCAATTTCCAGAGATGGAGCACTGATTTGGCTTTCTATTCTAGGCTCTACTTGGCCCTTGTTATGTTCTGGGAACCAACATGGGAATTTTCAGTTGTCAAATATGTCTATTCCAAAGACACACTCAGGAACAGGAACAACAAGCACCACGTAGATCCAAGGCCTAACTGAACTGCCTGGGACACAAGCTAGGGCTCAAATTCCAAGTATGACCTGACCCAAATGGAAGCCAACTGCCAAAGAAATGTAGAGTCAGTCTGTGGATAAAATTAGAGTTCCTGTGGCCAGGATTCTCACCTGGCCCTGGTTGACCAGCTCACTGCACACCTGTGGGCAATACATTACCGTTAACTCTATATAAAGAGCTCTGCCCAGTGCTCTGGGCACAACACGGTGGCACAGCTGTGAGGCTCCAGGAGAGCAGAGCAGAGGCTGGAGTGGCGGCAGTGCTGAGGACAGAGGCCCAGAGGAACGCTGTGCAGGACAACTGTGCAGAGAGGCCCAGCGGACAGCTGTGTGGGACAGCTGTGCAGGCAGAGAGGCCCAGAGGCAGAGACCGGCTTGCTGCATACAGACTCCCTCTGAGTGAATGGGATTTTAGTGACTGACCTGCCACCTGGAAATAAAGTTGGGTATAACCCTTTCACCCCAAGAATGTTTTGCTGTCAATTTCTTTGGTCACACTGAATCCATGGCAAACTTACCCAGGGCTGAAACCCATTGGCAAGACAATTGGCATAGGCAGCAGAACTCATTGTTGACCAAGGAAAAAGACAGCCAGCCCTTATGGGAGGGGTGCTTCAGCGGGCTGCCCCTGTGAATGGGGAGACATCCCCCAGTGGGTATATGGTCTGAGGTGGCTTGCCTCCTAGAGGACTGGACCCCATCCCAGGACTGGAGGCAAGTGGAGATGACACCTGAGGCTGTAGGGGTGGCCCTTGGTATAATAAGTAGATCCTTTGACAAGCAGAGTGCCCGTGAGGCAGCGGGGACTGTGGGTTGGCTGCTTCTCACAGTATTAAAAAAGTCTACAGAGGAGACCCAAGAATTGGTGGCACGAGAACGTGAGCTGCAAATTTCTGTGGATTCCCTAAAGAAGGAAATGGCCTTGATGCCAGACAAGGCGGCACGAGAACGCCAGCAGCAAGGCGCCACTGGAGAGGTAAACAATTCCTTACCAGACGAGATGGCAGTGCTGCCAGGTGTTCTGAAGGAGGAAGAGGCCATCAGGGAAAAGGACAAGCACCTGAGGAAAGCAGAGGTGGAGGTGGCACGAGAACAGCTGCAAAGCATTGAGCTGAAGGTAAGAGAGCTTCCAAAAGACTGAGCTGGCACTGTTGGGAGGCACTGTAGCAGAGGAGGCACTTGGAGGAGTGGAGAGAAAGGTACCATCAGCCCCAGAAATGGAGGAGCTGGGGAAGGATGAAGGGGTGGTCCCCGAGGCACTGGCCCCTCCTGTATTGAAAGCACGCCTGTGGTTATAAAGAAAATAAAGACCTAGCAGTTGAAAGTTCCCCGAGGAAAGGAGCAGCCCCCTCCCCAGGTCGTGGGGCAATCTCTGGTCCGCCCCTATACTCAGGCTGAGCAGGTGGCTGTGGGACTTAGGGGTGAATGGAATTGTTCTGTCGGGATCATAGATGGGAAAGCTGTCTTCCCTGACAGTGCAGCCCACCTTGAGGCAACGATTACAAAATGCGAGGTGACTCACAAGAACCCCGTGAAGGTTACAAGGACCTAGATGTGGGTTGATTTAATGCGGGCAGGAGTAGATAGAAGGAAATTAGATGGGTAGCCAAATAGGATCTTACTGGAGCTATGGCAACAACTGAAACCAGTGCAGCAGATCAAGCCATTAAGACTAAAGAGGCAGAGGTCAGAGATGGAGTCACGAGTCTGGCCTGTGTGTCTGCAAGACTTTTTCTGGAGAGGCTGGAGAACAATGTTCGAGCTTGCTTGCACAGGGACCATTACAGAGGACTAAGGGCACATAGATTGAGGGGAGAGAATCCTGAAGGGGTGGAGTGTGGATAAAATGAGAGTTCCTGTGGCCAGGATTCTCACCTGGCCCTGGTTGACCAGCTCACTGCACACCTGTGGGCAATACATGGCTGTTGACTCATATAAAGAGCTCTGTCCAATACTCTGGGCGCAACACAGTGGCACGGCTGCAAGGGTGCAGGAGAGCAGAGGCTGGAGTAGTGGCAGTGCTGAGGACAGAGGTCCAGAGGATGACTGTGTGGGACGGCTGTGCAGGCAGAGAGGCCCAGAGGCAGAGACCGGCTTGCTGCATACAGACTCGCTCTGAGTGAACGGAATTTTAGTGACTGACCTGCCACCTGGAAATAAAGTTGGGTATAACCTTTTCACCCCAAGATCGTTTTGCTGTCAATTTCTTTGGTCACATTGAATCTATAGTGAGCTTGCATGGGGCTGAAACTCATTGGCAAAACACAGCCATAACACAAAAAGAATGGAAGGTAAACTTGGAGCAGACAAGAAGTACATGACAGCAGTCATGGATGTCCCAGTTCACCAATTCTGTCAAATCTATACTTAACATGTCTGTTGAATCTTAATTTCAGTTGCTTCTTCATCGTTATAAATTATACTTTGAGAGTTTTGGAATCCTCCCAAATTTTACAGAACCTTGTTATTTTCACTATTTTTAACACTTTTATTTACATACATTAAGCAGTCATTTCAAATTCTGTATCTGATAATGCTTTTGTCTCATGTGGGATTAATAATCAAGTATAGAAATCAAATGTATAATCATATATGACTTGATTATTTTTCCTGTAATTCCTGATACGTGATCAAGAACAGAACAAACAAGACCTAAACAGTCAGTTTTACATAATTGCCCTTGCTATTGTTTCAATACCATGTAAGATGTTGCACCTCAGGAGACTGGAAACAGCCGAGATTTAAGTTTAGAGTTAGTTAATGATTGTGTATTAAGACCCCCCACACAGATTTCTATTGTTGTTTGCTCAATAAATATGAAGGGTACCCTCTCAGCATCACTCTTGCGCTGTTAAGCCTCGAGTCCCCTGGCTGGTCCTTTCAGATTTCAATATCTCGTGTCTCCTCCCTTATCTAAGGGTCAGAAGAAGGGAGGGACCGACAGTCTCATCCTTGCAGAATTTATTCTATCATTTGTTTCCGCTATTGCTTAGGATAACAGCATCTCTTTACAGGGCAGATTTATTTCCTAGCCCAGTCTCTGCAGGTAGGTCAGACTGGTTCTGCTCTGCCAATCTCATAGCTATTTTCCAGGTTGAAAGGGGAACAGGAAAAGTCTAGCACTTCTACCAGGAAAGCAAACTGTCCTCCTAAGTTCCAAGTACACTTCTACTTACATCTTTCTGATCAGAACTATGTTACATGGCCACCCCTAATGACAACTTTTGAAGCCTCCGTAATTGAGAGCACTGGAGATGAGCACTGAATGAGCACCTGTGAGTCCCGTATACAGAGGCTGAGTTCGAAGTCACTGCTATGGGGTTGGTGACACAAGTCATGATGGTCACAGAACCCTGTTCTGGAGCAGGATTTTGTGGATGGGAACTCAACCCTATTTATACTCCTCTGGCTCTTGTAACCTCTAAAGCATAATGGGGACTCCTCACTCTCGGAAAGTGGACTTTTGAGAGTACTGATGCCCTGTAAATAAACAAACTTGTCACTGTAGTACAGGCAAAAAAAAAGAGAGAGAAGCTCTTAAAGGTGAGGCCTTTGTTGTAGAACTACCACTGTATCCCAGGTGCTGCCTCCAGCTGCTGCCTGTAACTTGCTATTCAGGCCCTCTAACACATCTTGGAGTAACCATCAGCCAACATAACAGGAACTTACATATGCAAGGCAAAAAATTCAAGCTGACACAGGGCAAGAAAAAAACATCACTTAGTTAAAATTTATTTCCAGGCCTGAAAACGTTCAAACTAATAAAAAAATGATACTACAATTTATAATATAAAATTTAAAAAAATTGTAGACACTATTAATTAACCCCTAAACCTCACACCAAATGACTTTTTTACGTAATGGCTATTTAACAAAATGTTAAGGTGACACTATCAAAGAACTTTCATGCACTTAATGAGGACATAATTAGCAGCAAGCACTTCAAACAAACAAATCTGTCTACACTTTCCATGTTTAACTTTGCTTTACAAAGCCACTGGGAATTGAGGCTTCTTTCAAGTATAGGATTCCTAACAGTAAATCACATTTCTAAATATTTTCATAGACAAAAAATGAAAAAGACACATACTACACTGTTTGCCATAATCCATACACCAAAAAGTAAAACATGATCTAACTGAAATTATCCATACTTACCCCTTCTCCAACATTAGCTTTGGATGTTTTTCTAAATACTTCATATTTTTGTTAAAATCAGTTTTCTAGCTCATTTATGCAGACTAGACAAAAATTATTTATAGAGTTATCTTTAAAATTACCCTTTAAAAGTAAACAATAATGAAATGTACTGTTTCAGGGGCCAAAACAATCTGTAATATTAATTTCCTAAATATCCAAAGATTTCAACTTTTGCCAATATAAACAAAGGTCTTGAGTGGCCAAAAATCACTTCTTAGTAGCTAGGAAAGGAAAATGAATAGTATGAAGATTAACTAAAACTTTATTATTTATGCTTTTCCCTCAAGCTACAACTATCTAGCATTAAATTACACTGTGTACGCACAACTACAGGTTTACATTTGCTCAGGAACATGTAATTACATTAAAAATAAATAACTTTCTATTGGCTCCTAAATAGTTTCCTAGAGGGGAAACAGTATTATGTGTTCTTTAAGAAACTGGTATATATAAATGAACTGTATGTGTTCATTCAAACTTTCAGGAAACCTAAGTATGAAGTTTTTTTTTCCTAAAATGCAATACAGATGTGCACTTAATCACTGTTCACATAGTGAAGGGATAGAATGATAGATTTAAGTGCAATCCTTTGTTAAGTGTAGAGTTAAATGAAAATGGATAAAAAAAATTGACACTGACAATTGTTTAAAGGAAAAAAGAACCAAAGTCAAGAACAATGTTGAAGACTACTCTTAAAAAGAGAGAAGAATTATACAATACAAAAATGAGAGCTAGAGATTTGAAAAACACTCACTTTACTGCTTTGAAAGAGAAAGAAAATGATAGGAAGGAGTCTAGACCAGTTAGAATGGAGGCAGCTGTAACAAAAATGGAACACAGTACACTGATTTGAGGAAATGACTAATTAAAATGAAATTTCCCAAGTCTTCATGTCTATAACAACACATTAATGCACAAAATATTAAAAATACAAAGTCTGGGATTTTCCTTTTAAGTTTATAATAAACTGTCAAACCTATTTAATACTTGTACTTTTATAAGCCTTCGCTATTTAGCAGAGCATTCCAGACATGTACATACGTGTTAGTATTTTACCATGATGATTATAGTTCTCATCTCAAACTAGTGACTTGTGTCTTTTTTACCATACTTACATATATTTCATTTCCATTATAAGATATTAAGAGCTTTCTAGTGGTCCATCTTAATCAACATACTATATAAAAAACAATCTTGATTTTTAAAATGAATCAATGAATCCTTTCAGTACTGGTGCATGATGGGTTTAATTGAATAATGGAAGTATAATATGGTAACTACATTGTACTATTTATACTAACTCACAGTTGTAGGAAAATGTTTGACTTTGGAAATATAACCAAGGTGAGACTGCATAGCTATGAGCAACAAAATACTAGAAAACAGTGATGAATAAATAAGATGATTTTTCATCAGTGGCCATTCATTATTTTGCTTTTAGGAACCTGGAAGAAATTGTCTTCTTTGAGTTTCAAATGTTCTGGTAAATCTAGTCGTTTCTTAGCTTCCTCAATATCACCTTGAATTGCTGAAATGAGTGACTCTGCAGAGAGAATAAACAGGTATACAGGTAAGGAAAAACTGCTTCTATACTTTCTACTGCTCCTTTACTTCTAAAGACTCACAAGCTGGCAGCATCTCCAGCACAGAGCAGATGCCCAGGAAATGTTTGTCCCATCCTTTCTTCCAGACTTAAGTAAAAGTCAATGTCATACAAAAATGTCCCTAACCTTCTTGCAATTTCATAGAGAAAGGCAGTAGCATAAAGTACACTGCAAATATCAAATGGAAGAAACAAATATTCAGTCAATTCTCTTCAGTGTTTATACTTGTAAAAGGACACTACACAATCAGAGCTACAGCACTACACTAAGATACTTGATACCATTTTTCAAATATTCTGATACAGTTTTTTATACTTCAAGCATGGCAAGGCATCCTTTATTCATCAGTTAATTCACACTTGTTCCTTCAGATGGGAAAAGGAAATAAAGACTTTGTTAACTCGTACTGTTTGAGAGAAACGGCCAGCCTGCTAGGCTGAAGCTAGGCTTCATCACTTACTATGAGACACTAGGAAAATTATTTAACTTCTCTGTGCCAATTTCCTCATCCACAAAATGGGCAAAATAATTCCTCATATGGTTTTTGTGGGGATGAAATGAGTTAATTCATGTAAGGTACTTAAAACAGTGCCTGGCACATATTAAATGCTCAAATATTATCTGCCCAGCTATGGTTATTACTAGTAGAATCAGTAGAACTACCCACAGCAATTAATATTTAAGAAGGTCTAATAAGAACTTACCTAAAGAATCGAAGTTCTTTTCTGGTCTGAGGTAGCCAACAATGGCCACATTGAGGATTTCCCCATAGAAGTCCTCTTTGAAGGTATGCATGATATGAGTTTCCTACAGTCAAGAAATGTTAAGATTACCATCAGGTTATAAAGTTCCTGAAATTTGAAACATATCTTCACATTTACAGTGGGGTAATTTAAATAAAACACTCAACTCTTTAAAAATTTTTAAAGACAGGATTTTTTTTAAGTACAGTTTTTCCTAAATTCTCCCATTGCTCCTATTCCTGACCCTGACCTATATGTAAACAATATAACTGAGTAAGGTAGATGTTATACTACAAATCTTGCATGATTTGCAGTTTATAGAAAAAGGTAACAAGCACTAAAGTAATTAAGAATCTTATTAAGGTTAAAAAAAAAACTTAGCAAAGACACCAAAAGGGAAGGAGTAAGGTATTAAGACATGTTACTACTAGAAGAACTAGTTAGAAGGTTTATCAGGTCCACGTGTCTCCATGCACCAAGAAGTAGAAACCTTTCAGCATTAGGCAGAGCTGAAGACTAACGTGGGGGCAGAAGACCAAAGCAGGTTCCTGATCAAGGAGTGATGTGACAAATGGGTTCAGGGTGTTTTGAAGCAAAATGGTGCAGGAGGTGGTAGAAGATGCTCTGGAATCTCAACTTTAGAAGACTCCTATAAAGAACAAATCTGAGTTCAAAAGGCAGAAAAACCAGCTAAGAAAGCAAACAAATACAGAACAGGGTTGAGGCTGGACTAGACTGGAAGCACTGGAAATTGAGAAGTTTAAACAATTCAGAAACATGGAACTTGAGACAGGAGGTATATTTTGAAGTATCTGACTTAAAATCTAACCTATAACGTACCTTAAAACTGAAGCATCTATTACAAATCAACTAGAAGTACAGGTAGGTCATTCACAGTAATAAAATCAAGAGAGATAATGAGACTAAATTATACTTTAGAACAGCCTATTTAAAATAAATCAAACATGAAAATCTGAATTCGGCAATTGGTTATTCTTTCTTATGTAACACAGCAAAAGTTTATCATGTACACTTAAAATGATTCATACCAAGAAAGGAAGGAAACATCGTATGAGACAACTATTAGGTTAAGGTTTTATTTTCTGTCTTAAAAAAATACGCCTTTTACAACTTTCTGGTTTGTTGGGGGGAAGTTCATGATGCTTTGGGGTCATTAAAATAGGATTCCTCCAGGTAGCCCTAGATAAAACTTCTTATACAACGTAATGGGACTTACATATTTAATGAATACCATAAAAAAATAATAGATTCTGATTTAAACAATTTAAAAGAAGAAAATATGGATATGAGAAACAGGACTTTTCTTTATAATACCGCTCTTACTAGAGTTTTGATTTTATTAATTAGTAAATCTAATAAGTCACTACAGAGGAGTTGAAATTACATGCTATGTCAAATTAAAAGTGTTAAAGAAAAGGAGGGTAGTACTATAGGTAAGAGCACTGAATTAAGAATCAATAGTCTGGAGTTGTACACTTGGCTGTTGGTTTGGTTTTCTCATCTCTACTTGAGAGGTTTGAGCTAGAAGACATAAATGGGCATCTTACAGTTTTGTGCTACAAACCTATAAATTTGACTTGCATCCTTTCTTATCAATAAAATTTTGAATGACAGAAAGGAAACTAAGATATGTAGAGATCTCAACACTACCATCACAGAACATTACTGAGAGAAATGGTTAAGATATCGACTCTCCCTATATTGATCTATAGATTCCATGCTATACCAATCAAATCCCAGCAGGTTTTTAAATAAATGACAGAAGCTAACAAGTGATTCTAAAATTTATATAGAAATACAAAAGGTCAAAATTATCCAAAAAATCTTGAAAGCAAAACTGGAGAACTTAAACAATCACATATTAAGAACTATTATAAAGCTATGGAAATTAGGACAATGCAGTGATAGCCCAAGAACAAACTAGGAGAACAAGTATATATATGAGTGTGTTTTGGACTCTCACACATATAAAGTCACTTGATTTATAACCAAGGGGACAACACAGTGCTGTCAGGAAAGGATGGTACTTAAAATAAATGGGCTGGGTCAGTATCTAATATAAAAAAAACTAATTTGACCCCATCTCACACCATACTCAAATGTTGATTTGATGAGAAAAGTAAGTCAATTAGGCTTTTAGAAGAAAACATAGATGAGTTCATCTTCATGACTTTGGAGAAGGAAAAGAGTTCTGAAATAAGAGTATAAAAAGAACTAGTCATAAAAGAAAAACAAATTGGATTATATTAAGAACCTCTGTTCTTCAAAAGACACCATTACATTTAAGTGAATTAAAAAGAAAAAGCAACACTGAGAGAAGCTATTTGCAATACGTGGCTCCAACAAAGGAACTGAATCTAGAATACACTAGTAAATTCTTTAAGTCAGTAAGACAGCTAATTCAGTTTTTGAAAAGGGGAAAGATCTGAGCACAAGATATCTTGTTATTGGCAAATAACAGGAAAAAGAAAAATTCTGAAAACTATGAACCTTCCAGTGATGGAAAACTGAGCTTCTCATGACAATGGAAGGACTTCTAAAAAATTCCTTAAATGGCTCTATACTAATAGTTTAGTTATCTGAGTAGCTAAGAAGGAAAAATTAGTCATGGGATAATAGCCTTCCCTCTTTCATTTCCAGCCTCACTCTACAGAAAAATATTTTATATTCTTTCATCAATTCTTTTCCTATCTACTCCAACAAATAATTTTCATATCCTTATACTAGGAGAAATATTGAGCACAGTGTTAAGCAGTTTAGGCCATTTTCATTGTTTATACCAGTACTTAGCCCTGTGGTTTCCCAACTGTGACACACTTTATCTATAAACTCTTCAAAGAGGATGAAATTTAGATCAACTGTCACTGTTTTTGCCACACACTATAGATGGCCAAGATTCAGCCATATCAAGCAAATTAAGCCCTTAAACTGTGTGGGTCCTGTGAAAAGAGCAGAATATACCCTCAAAGTGGTTTAAAGGAGAAAAAAAGCAATTTGATGAGAAATTTGATCAGAAAGCACCATCCATGTACTAAGCACTTCTATCTTAACAGGGTGACCAAGTAATTAAAGGGTGAATGAACTTCACTAACTGTAACAAGCTCAATTTTATGAAACACGCTCTTAAATACTTCACTTTTATCTCCAGTAAATGTAAAAACACAAGCAGTTATAAAAATTATTATAAGTTTGGCTTGTAACTTCTTTTATTTTCTACATGACTTAAAAGATAAATGCATAAAAATGATTAATCTATGTTGTTGGACACACAACATATCAAGATGTAGTTTGTGATTTTTTCAATACTATTAAAAGTTAAGTTGGTGTAAATGCAAATTAGAGTTTTATAACTTTAGTGTGTTAAATGCAATCCCCAGGGCAACCCACAAAGAAAGTATCTATAGAAAATAAAAAAGAAAGTGAGAAGGGAATGAAAATGTGTCACTATTAAAAAAAAATCAGCTGAACGCAAAAGAGTAAAAGACAAAAAGCTATCAGACATATAGAAAACAAAGCAAAATACCAGAAGCCTGCCTTAACTGTAATTAGTTAAATCCATTATTAAGCCCTCCAATCAAAAGGCAGAGATCAGCAGAATGGTCAAAAAAACATGACCCCACTCTACCCCATTTTTAAGAGACTCACTTAGATCCTAAGACACAGAGACTGAAAGTGAAAGGTTGAAGTTACTCTATTCAGTCAGTAATTACCTTTGAACAAAACCGGTCTGAACTATACAGATCCACTTACATGAGGATTTTTTTTTCCCAAAAAAATACACTGGAAAATTTTTTGGAGATTTTTCACCACCTAAAAAAACGTTTTCTTTTCTCTAGCTTACATGTTGTAAGAATACAGTATATGATACATATACAAAATGTGTTAATCAACTGTTTATCGTAAAGCTTCTGGTCAACAGGAGACTGTTAGTAGTTAAGCTTTGGGGGCATCAAGGTAATACCTGGATTTTCAGCTGGAGGAGTGTCTGCACCCCTTCCACTCCCTTACCCCTTGTTCAAGGGTCAAATGTACTAAACTTTAAAATCTTTCAAGTATGCTGAAAAAATTATATTATTGGATTATATTGTGATTACCAGTAATAAGTTCTATGTGCATTTAATATTGCTTATTACCCTAAATCATTATCCCATTTAGAGAGCTAAATAAATTCTTACCATGGACTTTTTTGTATTCTTGTAGTATGGGTTCCATCCTATGCTCACCACCATCTTATGGACATCTCCACTTCCAACGCTGGCCCAACCATAATAAATGCCAGTGGATACATCAGCTGGAAGATTATCTACTACTTGTTCAGAAAAGTTAGCTAAATATAAGTAAATATTCGTGTGTTAAGAGTTTCATATTAACTATTTATAAAAATCACATGCAAGGCTAATCTAAATCATTATGCTTATAAATTTCCTAGGACCTTCTCAATGACTGTCAATCCCATCATTCCATATTCTGGGTCGGATTTCTTTCTCCTCCTCAAATGTATAGGTAAGGAGCAAGGTACTAGATTATAGTAGGAGTATGACACTCTCAAAAAAAAAACAAGAACAATCTTCGGACAGGGGTAAAAACCCAGATACAGAAGCTGGGTTTTTAGACCTGGTTTTTCTCAAGGTTCGAAATGTCTTGATAAGATTCTTATTTTCGAAATACACATGTCTCGACCCCAAGCTCCGAGTGGGGACAGCCCTGGCATATATTTTGAATTATTCGTAGGGTAAGGTCCTGGCTACAAAACTAACGGAGGAAGACCAAATAGGTATCTGGTTCTCAGATAACTACTAACGACAGATTTAAATAAAGAAAACCTTACAGTTGACTTGAGAATTTAGCCAATCTGGTCCACAATACGTTTTATAATGGACAAGTACGTGCCATGCTTAGCAGCTCTAGGATGCCTGGATGCGGAGGCGGGGAAAGAGGGATCCTGAAACTCAGCCTCCGGCTTCCTGCCCGCAACAGCCCTCGGAGCCGCGCGGGCAAGGGCCAGCTCCCTCAGCCCGACCAAAGGTCCTCCGCCTCAGCGCGGCCGGAACCTGGCGGAGAGGAGGGTGTCACCTCTACCCGCCGCCTCCGGGACCCTCGGCTCACGACCCCCTACGCCCGTAACGCAGCCCTAGGGTGGGGGCTCCGTGGTCTCCCGCTCTCACCCGTGGGGATGCCCAGCTGCTTGGAGCCGCGGCCGAAGCCCCGCACCACTTGGCCGCGGCAGAAGTAGGGCAGGTGCTTCATGACGCCGTCTGCTCGGGGCGCGGGCTGCGGCCCGGTCAGCGCGTCCGGCGGGGCTGCCGTGGAGGCGGTGCCCGGATCCCCCCGGACCAGCCGGGGGACACGAGCCGGGAACTCACGACGGGCCGGGAGGCGCCGAAGACCTGCAGGCGAGTCCCTTACACTGCTGACCCAACAGGCTGCCGGGCGACTCAGCGGCTGCCGTCTCCTCCCTTGGAGCGGCGGCGACCGGGGAAGTAAGGCTGGTGTGGGAAGAAGGCGCAGTAAGGACAGACCGACGCGGGAGGGCGCCCCGCCAGCCCAGCGCCTCGGTACCCGCTCGGCCTCCGTAGCCCCGCCCCATCTTAGCCCCACCCCCGACGCGGCCTCACCCCCGACCGCCGGGCTGCGTTTCCCTTACTTCTCCCTCAGCAGGCGGTGGAAACTGGCGGCAGCTTCTGTATCAGCCGAGAGGCTGTGGCAGGACAGTTCTGGGACAGTCCTGGGTGTCTGTTTTCCTTCCCTCCTTTTCATTACGATCCTGGCGTCAAAGAGAGAATTTCTTCAACTCGTTGGCAACCGCTAGACTGATCGTCATTCGTCACTGTGGTAAAAATTCAGTATGATCAGCATTTGTCACCAATGATAAGAAAAATAAGCCAGGAGGTGAGAACCTAGTAAAGCAGGCCCTGGGTCGTAGTCCTCCATTGTCTAGGGTTCCAAGGAGGGTGCGTATTAAAGAAGATTAAATAGATAAATGAATCATGGGAGGTTAAGGAACAGGATGATTTTAAGAATTAAATGAAATAATGCTAAGCACTTTACACAATATCATGTAATCCTTACATCAGCTTTAGAGGACAGCATTAACCCCAATTTATAAAGAAGGAAAGGCATCTTAGATGATTTCTAAATTGCAGCGTTCAGGCTCCAATATTTTTAACCCTGTCGACATGTCAACTACTATGAGTAATTACTGTGTAATTAGCATAGACTATGGAAGACTTCTGCTTCCTCTTTACTGCTGCTCAATAGCGTCCTGTGTCACTTCACAATAAAATAGCCCTCTAAGAGCCCCTTTCAATCTACCATTACAAGTTTTCTCTCTAAGGACTCCCCTAAAGTACAAATCAGACGCCTTCACCCCACTTCAGTGGCCAAAGAAAATGCTTGAAACAATTCAGGTGATTATTTTTCCACTTATTTGACTACAAAAACAGGCTTCCTAGCATTTCCAATTACCTTTACATATGTTTAGAGTGTGTGTGTGTCTTTATCAAACTTAGGTGCTTTTTACCTAGTATTTAAAATATGCTTTTTATTTCACCCTCTGAGCTACATTAACAGCATCCTTTCCTCTGCCAGTGGGCAAGCAGCCCATTTCCCTGGTGGTGTCTCTGCAAGAAAAATAAAATAAAAAGGATCTAAAGAAGTCTTAAAACTTAACAGTAAGAAAACAAACAACCCAATTAAAATAAAGGCAAAATACCTGAATAGATACTTCACCAAAGAAGATATCAAGATGGTAAATAAGTATGTAAAGATGTTCACCATCATGTCATCAGGGAATTACAAATTAAAACAACAGTGAGGTATCAGGTTCAATGAGAATGGCTAAATCCCCAACACTGACAAACTAAATGCTGACAAAAATGTGGAGCAATAGGAACTCTCACTCATTGCTAGGGCAGTTTCTTACAAAAACTAAATATACTATTATCATATGATCCAGCAATCACACTCCTTGATATTTGCCCAAATGAGTTGATAACTATATCTCACAAAAATCTGCTCACAAATGTTTTAGAGCAGCTTTATTCAGAATACCAAAACATGAAAGCAACCAAGATGTCCTTTAGTAGATAAATAAACTGTGACCCATCCATATAAAAAGAGATGATTACCTCACAGGAAGGAAAGAGACTTGAAGGCATATTACTAAGTGAAAGAAGCCAATCTGAAAAAGCTACATACTATAAGACTTCAATTATATGTCATTCTGGAAAAAGTAAAACTTAGGAAAACAGTCAAAAGATCAGTGGCTGCCAGGGTTTGAGGAAATGGGGGAGTGAGGGTTAAGGGAACAAAGATGGAGCACGGGGTTTTTAAGGCAGTGAAACTGTTCTGTATGATACTGTGATGACAGATTCATGACATTATGCCCATGTCATAAGCTGCACAGCCCAAAGTGTGAACTTTGATGTAAACTATTGGGGAGGAAGAATTTTCTTCCATCTCTCAAGGTTCTTCTAGCTGGTACAAGAATCAAATTGACAAGAAAAAGACAGATTAACAGGAGAAAGAGAGAAAGAGAGAGACACAGAGAGAGAGGAAGGAAGGAAGGAAGGAAGGAAGGAAAGAAGGAAGGAAGGAAGGAGGGAGGGAGGGAGGGAGGGAGGGAGGGAGGGAGGGAGGGAGGGAGGAGGGAAGGAAGGAATATGGGGAAAAAAACAGATTTCAAAGATACTCAGGGTAAATGAGGTATATATGTCATTCTGAACCAAGAAGCAGGGGTTAGGGATCCCAAACTTCAAAGGAAAAGGGAAGCAGTTTACAGGAATATGAAAGAGTAAATGTTTGGTAAACAAATGTTTGCTGTGCCACATAGAAATAATGGGCACAGAGCAGAATTTTAACAAATTTAGCCACATCCCTGTCTATCCATCTACTTCACATTATATTGTAGTTATATAAGGTGATATGTCACCTCCTAGAGCAGTTCCTTCACCTAAATTCTTTTTATGCAGTTGAAGGGGGTGGGGGTGGGGTGGAAATAAAAGTGTTTTTCTGAATCTGGGACCTTGACTGTTTACAGTTTATATGTCACAATGGCACATCTTGGGGCAGCCTACCCTTGCCTTCTATACTATTAAGTTTAGTTAATAATAATGTATCAATGGGAGGTCCTAGCCACAGCAGTCAGACAACAAAAAGAGATAAAAGGCATCCAGATTGGTAAGGAAGAAGTTAAACTCTCACTATTTGCAGATACATAGAAAACCCTAAAGAATCCACCAGATCCACTACTAGAACTAATAACTGAATTCAGCAAAGTTGCAGGATACAAAATTAATACATAGAAATCTGTTGCATTCCTATATACTAATGAATTAGCAGAAAGAGAAAGCAGGAAAACAACTCCATTTACAATTGCATCAAGAATAAAATATCTAAGAAAAAACCTAACCAAGGGGGTGAAGGACCTATACTCTGAAAACTACAAGACACTCATGAGGGAAATTAGACACCAAAAAAATGGAAATCTATCCCATGCTCACGGATAGGAAGAATTGATATTGTCAAAATGGACATCCTGCCCAAAGCCACTTACAGATTCAATGCAATCCCTATCAAAATACCAACAGCATTCTTCAATGAACTAGAACAGTTCTAAAATTCATATGGAACCACAAAAGAACCCAAATAGCCAAAGCAATCCTGAGAAAGAACAACAAAGCTGGGGGGATTATGCTCCCTGACTTCAAGCTCTTCTATAAAGCTAAAGTAATCAAAATTTTTGGTAGTGGCATGAGAACAGATCCATAGATCAATGGAACAGAATAGAGAGACCAGATATAAACCCACACATATATGGTCAATTAATATATGATAAAGGAGCCATGAATATACAATTGTCAACTACTATGAGTAATTACTGTGTAATTAGCATAGACTATGGAAGACTTCTGCTTCCTCTTTACTGCTGCTCAATAGCGTCCTGTGTCACTTCACAATAAAATAGCCCTCTAAGAGCCCCTTTCAATCTACCATTACAAGTTTTCTCTCTAAGGACTCCCCTAAAGTACAAATCAGACGCCTTCACCCCACTTCAGTGGCCAAAGAAAATGCTTGAAACAATTCAGGTGATTATTTTTCCACTTATTTGACTACAAAAACAGGCTTCCTAGCATTTCCAATTACCTTTACATATGTAAATATAGAGTTTAGAGTGTGTGTGTGTCTTTATCAAACTTAGGTGCTTTTTACCTAGTATTTAAAATATGCTTTTTATTTCACCCTCTGAGCTACATTAACAGCATCCTTTCCTCTGCCAGTGGGCAAGCAGCCCATTTCCCTGGTGGTGTCTCTGCAAGAAAAATAAAATAAAAAGGATCTAAAGAAGTCTTAAAACTTAACAGTAAGAAAACAAACAACCCAATTAAAATAAAGGCAAAATACCTGAATAGATACTTCACCAAAGAAGATATCAAGATGGTAAATAAGTATGTAAAGATGTTCACCATCATGTCATCAGGGAATTACAAATTAAAACAACAGTGAGGTATCAGGTTCAATGAGAATGGCTAAATCCCCAACACTGACAAACTAAATGCTGACAAAAATGTGGAGCAATAGGAACTCTCACTCATTGCTAGGGCAGTTTCTTACAAAAACTAAATATACTATTATCATATGATCCAGCAATCACACTCCTTGATATTTGCCCAAATGAGTTGATAACTATATCTCACAAAAATCTGCTCACAAATGTTTTAGAGCAGCTTTATTCAGAATACCAAAACATGAAAGCAACCAAGATGTCCTTTAGTAGATAAATAAACTGTGACCCATCCATATAAATAGAGATGATTACCTCACAGGAAGGAAAGAGACTTGAAGGCATATTACTAAGTGAAAGAAGCCAATCTGAAAAAGCTACATACTATAAGACTTCAATTATATGTCATTCTGGAAAAAGTAAAACTTAGGAAAACAGTCAAAAGATCAGTGGCTGCCAGGGTTTGAGGAAATGGGGGAGTGAGGGTTAAGGGAACAAAGATGGAGCACGGGGTTTTTAAGGCAGTGAAACTGTTCTGTATGATACTGTGATGACAGATACATGACATTATGCCCATGTCATAAGCTGCACAGCCCAAAGTGTGAACTTTGATGTAAACTATTGGGGAGGAAGAATTTTCTTCCATCTCTCAAGGTTCTTCTAGCTGGTACAAGAATCAAATTGACAAGAAAAAGACAGATTAACAGGAGAAAGAGAGAAAGAGAGAGACACAGAGAGAGAGGAAGGAAGGAAGGAAGGAAGGAAGGAAAGAAGGAAGGAAGGAAGGAAAGAGGGAGGGAGGGAGGGAGGGAGGGAGGAAGGAAGGAAGGAAGGAGGGAAGGAAGGAATATGGGGAAAAAAACAGATTTCAAAGATACTCAGGGTAAATGAGGTATATATGTCATTCTGAACCAAGAAGCAGGGGTTAGGGATCCCAAACTTCAAAGGAAAAGGGAAGCAGTTTACAGGAATATGAAAGAGTAAATGTTTGGTAAACAAATGTTTGCTGGGCCACACAGAAACAATGGGGCACAGAGCAGAATTTTAACAAATTTAGCCACATCCCTGTCTATCCATCTACTTCACATTATATTGTAGTTATATAAGGTGATATGTCACCTCCTAGAGCAGTTCCTTCACCTAAATTCTTTTTATGCAGTTGAAGGGGGTGGGGGTGGGGTGGAAATAAAAGTGTTTTTCTGAATCTGGGACCTTGACTGTTTACAGTTTATATGTCACAATGGCACATCTTGGGGCAGCCTACCCTTGCCTTCTATACTATTAAGTTTAGTTAATAATAATGTATCAATGGGAGGTCCTAGCCACAGCAGTCAGACAACAAAAA